AAAAAAGCTGTGGAAGCGTGGTGAGAAACAGAGGGCATTGCTGTCCCTTCTGGGATCCAGGCAGCTCGGTGGAAGCTGTGTAGAGCTGCTGTAAATCAGCAGCCTGGCACACAACTGGGCGAGATTTCAGATGCACGACGGGGCTTTCAGCCATCAGGAAACCATCAGCAGCAACGTCCAGAGGGACGAGGCTGCGCAGAGCTGCAGAGAGCTGTGAAAAGTCTTTCCAAGAAAGGGCAGTTGGTGGCCAGGACTGCCGCGGAGGGGTGAGCCAGGGGCTGTGATGGAGCAGACAGAGGAAACCCAGGGCAGGCAACAGGCTCCAGCCTTCCCCTGGCAGCCCATCAATCCCAGCCTAGCTTCACCATTACTACGCTACGTGACATTTTTCCTCATTCCTTCACTCTCTCAACCAGCTCAAAGTACTCAATGTAGCACAGTGTCGAGGCTTGGTGAAGGCAGATGTCTGCTTGCTGCTGGCCGTGGAGTACGTGGCCCTCCACGGGGCTGGGGATGGCAACGGCTGGTGGTTATCCAGAGCAGCTTATAAAAGGGGTTTTTGTGCAAAGGAACAGGCGTTCTTCCGCCTGCCTCCATCACTTAATCCCTCTGCTGACAAAATCCAACAGAGGCCGTGGCACCCGACCACGGGCTGCAGCTGGGTCACATAGCCTGGCAGCTGAGCCCAAGACTGGGGATTTCTGCGTCCCGGCCTAAGCCAAGAGCAGCACGTGTGAAGCAGGGGCGGGGGAACACTCACAACATGGAATTAAAGACACGGAGAGCCCCTCTGTATCTATTTTCAGAGTGCTTCTGTCCTCCCAAGCACTCGCTCTTCAGAGTCGTGAGAGAGACAACCAGCACGTGGAGCAGACGAGCACAGGTGGTGTGCTCAGGGCACCCACACTTTGGGTCTTCCACTACTGCCTCATCAGCAAAACTGCCATCACTCTGAGCCTGTGACTGGTCCTTCTACAAAGGACAAGGACAGCTGTGACGTAGTAAAACAGCTCTGTATCATTGGTAAAAAAATGTGCCCTGATAGACCTCAAAAAAAAGTCTCCTTAGGCCAGATTTCACATCACCTCCTACTAAAATGACTATTTGGCCTGCACACAGTGCCACAGGAACTCAACTCCTTGTTCAGGAGGCCACGGCGTGTAGCTGGCACACTATTTCCTCCAGATCCAACTGGCGAGTCGCAGAGTCCAAAGAGACTTGCCCATCTCTGGAGGAAGGTCAAGGCTGGCTACTCAGCAGATGACTCAAGCCTGGGCAGTGGCCAGCAGCAAGCCGCCGGCAGCAGGGTGATTCACGAGAAGTACCGGATCGAACTCGGGTAGGGGAGCCAACACAACTTTGGGGAAAGGAGCTGGAGTCTCTCTTTTACATCATGAAGACAAGTTTGAAGTAGCTTCTGATAAAGCTAGAAAGCGACAGGGCTGCAGCACATGAGTAAGATTATATTAAAACCAAGCTTCTCCCCTATCAAGACCTCACAACTGTCCTCATCACCGTGGAATTTGAGTGCCTTCCAGAAGTGTATTAATCAATGTGGCTTTCATTTGTCACGCAGAGGTCATTCACCCTCCCGCAGGGTCTAATTTGGCCTGGAGAACTCAGTTTATCTGCTGATGTAGGGAGAAAAATATTAATAAAAGTTGACTTTCAAACCTTGCTTGTGTGAAAGAATCGTGACTTTTCCATTTACAGCAGTTCAGCCAAATTCTTTCCCCAAGCCTACGAGAAAGATGTCCGATGACTTCACGTTACACTTTTAAGCTTTGCAGAAGTACAGCCACCCAGCTGGCCAACTAATAAATGCAGCATAAAGGAAGTGATATATTAAGATCTTCTTTACTGGATTAAAGTTTGATCTGGACTAACGAACAGCCAGCCAGGAAGTCATTTCTTCATTAGGGTATTGTTTCAGGAAAAGTGAATTATAAACCAGGATGCTCTCATGGGTAAGCAGAAGACATTAGCTTGCCTGCTTTCACATGGAGCAAATCTTTCTTCAGTCTCCCCCTCTTCATTCAGTTGTGTTCTTCCACAGGCACAACCACTAATGAATCCACCACGGCAGCAGCAAAGAGCAAAAGTCCTTCTGGGAAGCATCCTCCAGGAGTCAACCACCCCAGACCAGGCTACATCTAGACAGATGTACAGTGACACGACTATATTCTGTAGGGAATTTCCACTTCCAAAGAAATTGTGCATTTCAACTATGTTTTTACATCATCCTCGCTCTTGGTTTCCATGGTGATCTTTCCAGTTGCCAGCGATGAGAGAACGTGTCCCAAACAACATCCACTGCCTGATGTGGCATATCTCTAACTTGAGGATGGTTCTCTGTAGAAAGGGTCCCAAAAACATCCTCCAAGAACCAGAGGACTTACCATATTATTATAAAAGCTCCGTCAGGATGGAATTTACAGCATAAAACGTAGAACTAGTGGAAATGGTCATGAAAGAGGACATGGAAGATGCTTCTGGAGGGCAACCGAGCCTCTTATTTTAAAAAAAAGAACTTTTCAAAGCTTAAGGTGGCTTTTTACACCCCTTTTCCCTGCCACTTCCTTGCCTCGTCCGCATCCATCACGCTTCCCACCTCACGTTCGGTTTATAGACATCTACAGGCAAGCCAAAGCCCAGCCAGTGTATTGACATGATGATGAACAAGGTACAAAGGAACAGTGATCAAAGCGGCTTTCAGTTTCTAGAGACAACAGACAACCGTGCTGCCCGTCTCCAGTTTTTGAGTCAGCAGCTACCATAGCTGGCCTTTTGGTGAGCCTCAAACAGGCATCTGGCATCTACACAATAATCAAATGCTGATCAAAGAACGTTTCTGATTAACTAAGAACAAAAGCCCGTTCCTGGAGGGTTAAAAATGAAAATAGTTCTGCCCTCTTTACAGTGTCAAAGATTTGCAGAACTTACCCTAAAAGTCTCTGTGTAGCAGTGGATTAAGAAGAGATGACTCCACTCTGGAATCAACACAAGACAAGCATAATTTCCTGAGTTTTTGGAAACAAGTTTTGCGTGTTGGAACCAATGACTCCAGATGTCAGCAGCCTCCTTCCATCAGAACTATAAACAGTGGAGGCTTTGCCCCAGCACAAGCTTTATCTGACCTGATGACAGGGAATGGTAGTGGAATGGGTGCGAGTCAGCTTCGCTACATCCCTCATGAAGAAATCAAGAGAAGGCCAGATGATAACGCTGCTGGAGCACGGGGCTGAGGAGGAAACCTGCTTCCTTTAAACCTGGCCACGCAGAATCTCATTTTCAGAAGTTCTGAGAAGCTTCAGCTCCTCCCAATTTCACCTGGAATTGCGGGTGCTCACTCCTCTGCGGAGAAAAGTCAGACAATCTCATAGTGTTGTTCTACAAAACCTTTATTTTCTCCCCCGTGCTCACTCCTCTGCGGAGAAAAGTCAGACAATCTCATAGTGTTCCTCTGCAAAAACCTTCATTTTCTCCCCCGTGTGCGCAAAGAGAATGTTTGCTTTACAATATTTCAGAGAGCAGAATGTAAACGCTTTGTGCAGCCCGATACCAGCGTGAAACATCCAAGCACAATTTTCAGATCACACATTGTGATCTATCAAAGCGTGCCCAAACCGAAAGTGTTTAGCAGAAGCAAACCCTTCTCCCTTAGCAAAGGGAAAACGCTGCAATATTATTACCAAATGAAGAATTACAGCTACTTGTCGCTAAATCTCTCAAGGTGCAACTCTAACAACTCACACAACGACAGCCACTGTCATTACTTTGGTAGTTAGTAACCATTTTTAAGCGAGGTAAAACAAAAAAAAAAATGCAGCCAGCTCTTCCTTTGTTTTGACAGGTTTTACAATGTGTAGTTCTCTACTTCGATGAGGATGGGTGCTTTAAGTAGTTGATATGGACCT